CTTTAACTTGCGACGTGCAACTTCTAGCCTGAGTTAAATATTTCTAGATGGATAACCACTAGAAATAGAGACCATTATCCTCAGCCTTGATCTACACAAAGGTTTCCTGACAACAATCACCCAGTCAGATGGTATAATGCCCATGTGAAACATTCCAAATAATCAAATGATTCCCTATAAAGGCATACATATGTAGATGTGATGCCAAGATAGGTATGAGAGTTTCTGCAGAAAATGGCAAATACTTGAAACATATCTTCTTGAGAACCATTTCCTATCTGGAAAAGAGTGGCAGTTGAGGGTAGCAACGCATCATTAAATCCACATCAAATGAAGAGACATTGTTTATCTTGTCCAATCTCCATTAACAGATTGTAATGCAATTTTGTTAGAACTGGCAATTACCTTGAAGTTCATCTGGCTCTAGGTAATCTCCAAGGTTCCTTCTGCCTATGACTGGAGACAGGAGAAAGCTCAACACTATCCACAAACCTGATAGGCTCATTTGCTGTAAAACTAGTGAAGCAGAGGATACTCAACTGTTACCGTTTTTCAAGCAGTCATTTCAGATAATTGTAATTTGCCTGTTTGCCAAACACTGGGGATTTGCAAAACCAGAAAATATTTCACCCTAGCTACAAAAATTTCCCATAAAAATATTTTCTTGGAGTGCAAAGATTTTGCACTCAACTTCTGACTAGAATCATTCATTCAATGTTAAGGCAGGTTTTGGGGGAAAAAAAGTAGAGAATACTGGAATTGGATGTAGAAAATAAGACAGTACTTTAAAAAGTCCATGGAAAGATTTGTATTATCTTTTAATTCTATTTTTCCATGAACTTTTTGAAGTATCCTCATATAGATAGTGTAAATAATTCATTGATGCCTGCTTAAATTTGCTGTGAATTTTATTTCTAAACAAAATAAAGGATGGTTGGATGAACATTTGCAGATTTTTCCATTTGAAGTAAAAATGCTTGTTTTTGCTTAGAAAAAAATGCCTAAGTCTGCTAAAACAATGAACAAATTTAACAGTATAAGCGGTTCTCAGTGTTTTCAAATAAAGTTCCAGGATTTTATCTGTCTATACTTTTTAGAATTAACTGATTAAAAGTTAGAGTTAACCAAGGATGGAAAGAAACAGGGAGGAATTTGAAGAAACCTATCAATTATGTAGCTAATCTAGTTAGAACCCAGTAAATGTGTTATTTTAGGAGGAAAACTAAAGCCACCACAGATCATCAAAGAGATAATTTCTCAGTGGGAAGAGCTCTATAGAGGGAGCCAGAGGCTGACTTTAAATCTTATCTCTGTACCATTTTTTGTGATCCTAGGAAATGGGGAAAGAAATTAACATTATTGTGCTCCTACTTGTTCCATATACTGTCTAGTGTAACTCTCTTAATAAATTCAGGATATGTGTGTGTGTATACATATACTTTTTTTTGGACAGGAACAAATTCAGCCTCAGAAAGATTAAATAGTTGGCCCAGAGTCAAGTAAAAGGAGACAGAATCAGGACTCAAAGTCAAATAATCCCCTAGATCTTGGCTTCCTCACTGTGGAAAGTGCAGGTTGGTCAATGGCTCCCAGGCTGGAGTTCCAGACTTCATTATGAGCACATGTTTCTTTGCTCATGGCTGAAAGAACTCAGTGTTTCACTATATCTTAGGCTGATCAGAAACTCCTGTGAGCATATATCTCTGATTAATAAAAAAAAAAGTTGCTAAGGGAACTATTATTTAATGGCTAGTTTATTTTGTGGCCCAAATCTTTCAAAATACTGATCCCCTTAGAAAGAAAACTATGAAAATCGGTTCTTCAGTGATGCAAACACTGGTAATCTTGGAATATATCATGAACCAAGG